TAGCAGTTGAAAGATAAATTCAAACTGTTATCAATGTACCAAGAAATGGTCCCTAGTTTGAAACAATCAATAATGGAATATGTGGCGTTCAGACAGTGATCATTGAAAAGTGAAGTTGAAAAACAGATAAATAAAGCAATCACATGGTTTATTTCTGAATTTCAAAGCATTGTCTGTCCCCAATGCAGGTAGGTGAGGAATTTCAGAATGGTCAGAAAATATGAGCTAAGAGTCTGAGACAGCAGACATTTTCAATTAGATTTTAGTTGACTCTGATGCATTTCGTTAATAATTTTTTTCCTTTCCTTTTCGGTTAAGCATTGTTTTAGTATCTTTATTTGTATGCATATGTTTGACAAATCAAGCGTACAAAGATTACAGATTTATGGGGGTCTATCAAGTTTATCTTCTGCCAAGAGTTCTGGGTCAAGTAACTCAAATAAAGAAATTTAGGCTTTCAAGAGGCCTAATCCAACTCTGGATGGTACCAGGTCCATTAATTCCATTCTTTATTCTGTCCATTAAAAAAATATTCTGTTCATTTTTATTAAAAAATTACTTTATAAGTTCATATCCAGCCATACTTGATTTATCCACTCATTTAGTACTTATTTAATATTTATTAAAAATAATTTATCAAAATGTTTCATTTACGGTCCGTCGCCATACCCATCATATGTCCGTTGTTTTTATTTTGATCCTTAAATTTATTTTTTAAAAAATTTGATTATTTATTTATAAGTTTTTTTTATTCTCAAAGTTATCATAAGAAACATTTTGGTCTATACGTTATAAAGTTTATGCAATTAAGTCTCTACATATTATTATTATTTGCTATTAGCATGGTCTAAAATGAGTATTCATATCCAAAAATCATATTAATAAATATATAATTTTTTATTCTTACTAGCCACAATGCTTATTTCGTATTTTTAATAGATATTTATTACATCTTATGTATTATACACTTACTTCATCACTAGCTCATTGCATTGCCGTCCCTGCGTCCAACTTTGTCTTCCGGCTGTGGGTGTAACAGAAAGCCTGCGATTTGTGTCTTCTTTAAGCCATATAAAAATAGGCCCAGTTGTACACAAGGACTTGGGAAAGTTTTGAACCTAACCCAAAATTGAGACGCCAATGCACAACTCAAAGCAGGCCATTACAGAATTCTAGCTCATGGTGCAAAACTACGACAGGAATATGTTAGACCAAATCTCGGTAAATTTAATAGAGGTTCTTTTTTCTTTGCCCCCCTGATGGAAGCACAGGAATGCTTTGTTCATTCCTGAAGAAATTGGAAGGATCTGTTGCAGTCTTAACCTGCACTAGTCTCTTAAAGTTATTGTTGAAATATTTCAGGCCCCAAACACTTGCCCTTGCAAAGCTGGTATTTCCATAATTATTCCTTCCCAAATCAAGATCTCTATAGTTGAGATAGGCAGCTCTTGGTGAGTTTGAAACATAAGGGGCCATGTAGTCATAGAGACTTCTGATCCATCCTACATGCTCTTGTGTTTCCTCTTCCACATCCCAAGTTATAAGGTACTGGATTTGGAATATATTCCCATGTCTATGGGGGAAAGGGATCTTCGAGTCCGAAATCTCACTCATTCTTCCTCCATAAGGTGTCAAGATCAACATTGATGTCTCCTCTACGAGGAGCCTTCTGTACAGCCCCTCCAAGCCAGTTTCTGAAATCGGTTCCTTAACGTAATCTGATTTTCCTTTGAAGAATCCCTTAAATTGAGCAGTCCGGCTAAGTAGAACATCTAAGGAGTCACTCGTTGAATAGCCACCAAAATAGAGGACAGATTGGATCCAACTCATTTCACTGCAGTTTTCGCGCATTAAGCCCAACTCAGGAAAGCTATCTTGCATCATAGGGAGAAGTTCCTCAGTCCTTCCGAGAAACAACGACACGAACGAAACTCGAATGGATCTATTGCCATTGGGGCTGGAGGTAGCAACTGCTATAGCAGCATGGAGGAAAAGGTCTTCATGAAGCTTATCTCCAATGCTCTGCCACTTCTGAAGAAGATTGCTTGCACCTTGCTCTAAGGTTCTTTTGATATTGAAAACAGTTACAGTTGGAGGAACCGAAACCAATCTAACTTTCCATACAAAAATGACTCCGAAGCTAGCTGCTCCCCCTCCTCGAATGGCCCAAAAAAGATCTTCTCCCATTGATTCTCTATCCAGAATTCTTCCATTTGCATCAACTATCTTAGCATCAATAACATTATCAGCTGCTAAACCATACTTTCTGAATATGGTACCAAATCCACCTCCACTAAAGTGTCCCCCAACTCCCACCGTAGGACAACTACCTGCAGGGAAGCCATGGACCTTGCTTTTCTCTGCAATTCTGTAATACAACTCTCCTACACTCGCACCGGCCCCGACCCATGCCGTCTCAGTTTCAATGTCAACACTGATGGAACTAAGTTTAGCAAGATCAATAAGCACAAATTCCTGATAAGACACGAAAGATAGGCCCTCGTAGTCGTGACCTCCACTTCGAACTCTTATTTGCAAATCAGATTTCTTGGCACAAACAATGGCTGCTTGAATGTGAGACTCATTAAACGGAGTGACTATAAATTGAGGTTTTGGAACCGAAGTGTTCAAGAATCTGCAATTTCGAATGGCTGACTGCAGAACAGATGAGTAAGTAGAGCTATTTCCAGTAAGGATAACTTCTGAATTTGGTTTGGAATGATGAATATGAGAGGAAAAGCATTGCAAGAACATATCATCAGCTGAAATTGAACTTGCAGACCAAACCGATGAGGCTAAAACTACTATCAGTAAAAAATGCACACTAAAGTTTGATCTTTCCATTTTTTTTCCCCTTCAGCTTGTGATCTAACACAAGGTAGTTAAGCTACATATTTATAACAACTGCACAATTAATGTTGATACAAATTTCTTATGCAAAGAATGGTAACTCCAAAGTCCAAAACGAAGAACATTCAATAGTATATTACCATTTTTATTTTCTTGAATGCATCAGAAAACGAATCAGCTTGACAGCTAATAGGCTGCAACATTGGTGAAAGAGATGGCGCTGTCTTGAAGCAGAACTCCTTATGCAACTAGAGAATCTTCAGCAGCCTGTAATATTATCATATACCAACAAATTAAATAAAAAAAAATCTGAGCAAATGGGCATGGGAAAAGAAAAGATTGGTCAAAGAGGATAAAGTTTAGTTTACGAGTAACCACCAAATACGAGTGTCCAAAGTATTTAGTGTTAATGAATATAAACATATTGATTACTCTCTTTTCTGTTTTTTAATACATAATTTGAGTTTACAAAACAAGCTAATGATCCTCAACAAGTACTTACTATATATATATATATAATTCTTAACAAATACCCTTTGAACACCCATTGAGTAAATTATAAATTAGTCCTTCAAATTTTACGAAATGATTAAATAGTCTTTCTTGTTTCAAAAACTAATTAATTGAGGTATTAATCAGTGTTGGTTATGGTTAATTTAATATTATTTTGTTAAAAAAAAATCTTTTTTTCTCGATATATACATATGTACATGCATGCATGCATGCAAGCATACATATAATTCTTAACAAATACCCTTTGAACACCCATTGAGTAAATCATAAATTAGTCCTTCTAGTTTTACAAAATGATTAAATAGTATTTCTTGTTTTAAAAACTAATTAATTAGTTTATTAATTAGTATTGATTATGGTTAATTAATTTAATTTTTTTTCCAAAAAAATATCTTTTTTTCTTGATCTTTTCATATATAGATATATATAATTCTTAACGAATACCCTTTGAACTCAAATTGAGTAAGTCATAAATTAGTCCTTCTAGTTTTACAAAATGATTAAATAGTCTTTCTTGTTTCAAAAACTAATTAATTAGTTTATTGATCAGTGTTGATTATGGTTAATTTAATTTAACTTTGTTCCAAAAAATATCTTTTTTCTCGATCTTTTCATATATATAATTCTTAACAAATGCCCTTTGAACTCCCATTGAGTAAATCATAAATTAGTCCTTCTAATTTTACAAAATGATTAAATAGTCTTTCTTATTTCAAAAACTAATTAATTAGCTTATTAATAAGTGCTGATTATGATTAATTTAATTTAATTTTTTTCCAAAAAAAATATCTTTTTTTGTTGATCTTTTTCATATGTGTGTTTATATTATTTCTTAAAAATTTGAAGAAAAAAAGAATTAAGTTATACGTAGATTTAAAAATATATTTAGTTTTTGAAATTAGAGGGACTATTTAATTTTTTTGAAAAAATAGAGGGACTAATTTATAATTTACTCACACTGGTTATACACACACACACACAAACACTTAAAAAAAAAAAGAATTAAGTTAGAAGTAAATTTAAAAATATAATTAGTTTTTGAAACTAGAATGACTATTTAAATTGTTTTGAAAAAATAAACGGACTAATTTATAGTTTACTCACACCCCTTAGATAAACATAAAACCTACAAATAAGTTTTTTTCCTTTGAGAAAGAAAATAATTTTATTAAATTAAATAATCATATCTAATGTTACCAGTAAAGTAAGAACTCAGTTGAGCTGCTCCTTGTTCAGTATTCACCCGGCAAAACTTCAGGCCACAAATCCTGAGCCCAAGTCAGCCTCAGCAAAAGCCATGGCCTAAGGCCCACGCAGCTCAGCTCCTACCCAAAGTCCAAACTATTATTCTCAAGATGCTGTACATATCCTGCTGAAGATAGGAAACCTATTGCCTGCAATTTCCAACATTCCTCGTCCCTGTAGGAAACAAATAGGAATTCTATTTGATTTCCATGACGATGAATCCGTGTGTTACACTGACTAGCTACCTTATAAGTTACTTTCTTCTTCTATATAAATCCATTAGCCACAAGCATAAATAACCTGTTCACCTTCTTTTGCTGCCTCCAAATCCAAATGTTTCTCTCAAATTTGCCTTACTAGTTTTTTCTCTTCTGTGCTTAACACCAATTACAATGATGGGTTCGACTCAAAATTTTGATTCCGATAGTGATGATTCAACTTTAAAGAATCTCGAAGGCCAGAGAATCGAAAACATATCTGGCTTTGTCATGCAAAGAATAATAAGGTCAGGATTTTCTTCAATATTTTTGTCTCTTGACCATCCAACTTTGGATTCTGGAATATCCCTAGGTTTTTTACCTTGTCCTGTGAAGATTCAGGCATCAACAAACCAGGGTTTCTTGCTTTGCACGCATACCCTGCCAATATATCCAAGCGTTCCTCGATATTATGTGTGCAAACCTGCCACCAATCAATGGAAACAGATTCCAAATCCAAAGGCTCGATATCGGACTAAAGCAATCGGCATGGTTGTGTTAAGTTCAAGCCCTTTGCATTACAAAATTGTAAGATTCTCCCAGCCTAAGTTTCGTACGAATAGAGACTCCTTCCGATTTAACAATCTTCGATGTGAGATTTTTGATTCAAAGATCCATGCATGGAAGCAACGGGAGGAAGTGAATTTGTACGAGTCATTCCTCGGTTTTAACCCAGCTGTATCGGCTTGTGGTTCACTTCATTGGCTTACGTTTGGATGTAGGATTTTTGCATTCCACTTAAAAAAAAGAGAAATATAGCATGATTTCGCTACCCAAACTGGTTAGTAAGAATCACCATCGAAAGTTCTTTACGCTCGTCGAGTACGAGGGAAATCTTGCCCTAATATGTAAGGAGGACGACCAACGTTTCTTGGAGTTATGGATCATCGAGAATTATGATAGAAAAATATGGAAGAAGACACATATCGTGAACTTGGAAGCCTTAACTAAAGAGTTACCATATATTACCCTTACTGGCTTCTGCAATATTGCTACTGTTGCATTAAGGAATGGAATTGATAAGTTGACATTTTTCAACTTGAAAAATGGAATTACTAACTCTTTGAGCCTGGACATGGGCTATGATGCTGTAGAGACCTTTTCTTTTCAGTCAGATTTTGAGCCTTATGTGCATGAATCAGCTTTGGAGGATTCAAGAGGAAACCAAGAACAAGAAAATTGAAGCCAAGAAAATGTTCTTTTCATGATTAAGTAGGTTTCTTTGGATTGATTTGTAGACTTTTACACTACCCTTAATCTATTTAGGAGTGGTTTGTTCATAGTTTTTATGGCAAATAATTTTATTGTTTTCAATTTAGTTTATTGTTGTATTGTGGGTCTATTTGTTATCCCTATATATGGTATTCAATTTCTGCCATTTTTTTAATATATATATTTATATAGTACGAGGATTGTGTAATTTTTCTATAAGAAAATATACAATTGATTTAGGCTGTATTTGTTTTGCAAAAATAAGTTCCAAGAACAAAACATATTTTTCCTCATTTTTTGATATTGTTTCGCGTTCAAGAAAAAATATCAACAAAATTTGATTTCTAATCAATAAAATCAATAAATTATTTTTTAAAAAATAACTTTCGAGCTAAAAGGGAAAATATTTTTTTTAAAAAATAATTTTTTTAGAATTGTTTTTCTTACTAGAAGCGATGGAGCTTTAGAATAGTTTCACCATACACTATAAATCAAATAAAAATTCAGTTGGATTGGGAAATCTATCAATTGTAGATGGGCTCTGATTCATGGGCTCTAGGTTATAGTTGTAACTTATCTCTTTTAACTGAAAAAGAAATCAAGATACCTTACCCAACTCACATTGGTTCACATAGGAAATTCAGTGACAGCCCATTACAATTTCTGGCCACATGTCCCCAGCCCAACCCAGCCTACGCATGAACACAAGTAGGATTAGCTTGGTATGAAAATGGAAACTCAAAAACAAAACCCAAACTTTTAGCCCAACTGATATGATGGGCTAAGGCCTCTTTTTGTTTTTGTTTACCATAATGGACCTTACCTTCCTTAAGCATAAACCAGCCTGCCTTCTACGTATTTGTGGCCTTTGGGCCCCAATTTCAATCCAATTTTATACATGTCTTTGTTTAAGGGTGATCATTCAATTTTTTAGTTCAATTTTAATTTTTTTTAGTTAATCAAATTGAATAAAAAAAAATCAAAATTCAACCGAATTGAGGTTCAGTTTTTTAGCTAAAAAACTAAAATTTTTGATTGGGTTTTCCATTAAAAACCGATTTTTTTTTTAATCTTTTCTTCTAAATTTTCTCTTAGATCAAGCAGAAAAGCCACTTTTTTGTAATTTTTTTTTCAAGGAACGCTAATAGCTTGAATTGAAGTTTTAGTAAAAAAAATCATAAGAAAATGTTATGAGTATTGAGTACGTGAGTTAAAAAAAAACACTAATTTAGTTTTCGATGAAAATTGAATTTAAAAAAATTGAATCGAACCAAAATAATTCTAGTTTTCGGTTTCGGTTTCGTTTTCATTTTTTTTTTTTAATTTTTTATATAAAACCAAACCGAAATTGCTAAATCGATACAGTTCAGTTGGGTTTTTCAATTTTAACCAAATCGCGCTCCTATCTTGATTGGTGGAAAATTTTAATGGCATGTCTCTCACTGTCTTCCCTCTCCAGTGATAAATGAGACTTTAAATTCAGAACCACCAAACCATCTGGTAGCAGGCCTTTACCACTGAGTAGTCACCATTCAATGGTAAACAAAGGAAACACCATCCATAGAATTTTGTTTTCTCCAAATGGGAAAAGAAAAGTCCTCATTTATATACAAACAGCCCTGGGAGTTGCCCACTTGGAATGACAAAAGAAACAAAAGAAAAGCCAGGCTAGCTACAAACACAGACCATCCTTAGATCCTCAAAGACAAGCAAAGTATATCAAAGATTACTACTAGATTCAACATGGATGTTACAGACCTTGAAGTAGAAACTCCAGACACCCCTGAGTCATGTCCTACTCCTGCAATAAGTTAACAATGTTAGCTACCAGGAAGCAAGAAAATGAATCTCAGCAGGACACAAAGCATGGAAGAAAAGTATGTGCATGTCTTTATTTGATTCAAGACTGTCTATTATAAAATGAGGGTTGACATCAATACAAGCCACATGTGATAGCTATAACCATAATTAAGCTGTAAAGATTAATTAATGCAACTGGGCACACACCATTGATGAGAAAGGACATACTGTTATAGGGAAAAACTTGCATTATAAAGCCACTTGGCCTCACATCTAGCCCTGCATACGAGAGGGCTTACACACAAGGATGGACATCTAACCTAACAATCTAAGCTTAATGGTCATGAGTCTATCTTATATATAAAAATTTCAAACTTCTCATTACTAACCTATGTGAAATTCCTGTGAAACAATCCAATGGAAAACTTGGAAAGGCAATAATTGGATGAGCCAGTGGTTTGGTTTTCACGGATTACAAGTACAAATGTCAATCATAAATCATCTGACATCATCGATGATTCAGGGTATCCACATATAATACTAAGAAGATGATGGAAATTGCTGATTTTTGTTCCAGAAAGATTTGACAAGAGGGCTTTGAATCATATTTTCAGAGTGGTAGTTGGATTTTGGTGGTGGAAGACGTTGTTTGACTGTTATTTGTTGACAGATGTGAAGAGAATCTAAACTAGTTGGACAAAAGCAACTGTTCGTTTAAGCCTTAGCTTCGTCAAGCCATGTGGAGACTTAACATGTGTGTGTGACCTACGAGGCTAAGACTAATTCTTCAGACAAGCATGTATCTAATCCCCTTGTACGGATTTGGACAGAGTTCCTTTCTTAAAAACATGGCGAAAATCATGGGTTGTAAGCAGTCAACAGTTTTTTAATCAGAATCTTGAAACTTCCGTGTATGAATGGTAAGCAATAAGTTCTTTTCCTCCATCCCTCCACATGCCTCAAGTGTAAAGGGATAAGGTAGGAATATGACTCAAGGGAATTCTAGTGTTAATTAATGCAATTTTTCTTGTTTTGTGTGTTTTGTGGTTGTAGATGAAGTTGCTCCATGGCAAAACAAGTACCATTCATTCATAAGAGAGCAACTGAAGAAAAATCGAACGCTTTGGCTTGGCATCAAGGTCCTTATCACTTTTCAGCCTTGAAGCTGACAAAAGCATATGAAAAAAAAAGAGAAGCAAAATCTGCTATATTAAAGTTTTTCATTGCATGATTTCAGCATTACCAAGATCCCAGATAAACATGAATCTAAAGTTACCAAAAACTTTGATTTTATGGATGAAAAAAGTAAAAGAAAAGAACATGAGACGTAAGGGCATGAGTCCACCAAAAAACAATCATGTAGCCTTTGAATTAGAATAAAGTAACTATAGATTATTCTATTACAAACCAATCAATTGGTTGATTACTACTTTAAAAAATCTTCTATGCCTTACTTGATAAAGTAGGGATGCTCTGCTCATTCCTGAAGAAATTTTCTGGATCAACTGCAGTCTTTACTTTCACCAACCTATCAAAATTGCCATTAAAATACTTGTCACCATAAACACTACCCTGTTCAATACTATTTTTGCCAGGCACCATAACACCAATGTCAAGATCCCTATAGTTCAAAAATGCACTCCTTGGATTCTTTGAAACAAATGGGGTCGTGAAACTGTATAGCCTCCTTATTTGAGCCATGGAATTCTTGTCTGCCGCATTTCCAGCTTCTTCCCAATTCTGTGAATACTGGACCTTGAACAAATTGCCTGCCCTGTGAGGGAAAGGAGTTGCTGAGGCAGGAATTTCACTCATTCTACCACCATAAGGATTGAAAACCAACCCAGTCTTGCCTATCTCAATCATCTTTTTCCACAACCATTCCAACCCTTGTTTTGATATTGGATTCTGAACATAATCTGATTTCCTCTTCAGGAAATTGGCATCATTAGGTTTCCTATCAAGAAGAACATCAGGTGATTTTCCAAGGTTTTCAGATTCATCCCACCACAACACAGATTGAATCCAACTTGTCTCGATACAATCCTCCTTCTTCAATCCCAATTCAGGGAATTCTTTTCCCAATAAAGCCACAAGGCTATCAGAAGTCCCTAAATACATTGTCACAATTGATGCTCTAATAGTCTGAGTACGATTCCTTGTTACAGGCTGCAAAAGCATCCTCATGAAAAGATCATTACTTGTATGAGGAGCAACTAATTGCCACTTGTAAACAACATCAGTAGCATTCTGATCAAGCGTTCTTTCAACTCTGAAAACAGTAACTGTCTCAGGAACAGAAACAAGCTTGATCTTGTAAGAAATTATAACCCCAAAACTTGCGCCTCCACCACCACAAATTGCCCAAAAAAGATCCTCCCCCATCGCTTTCCTATCAAGAAGTTTCCCATTAACATCAACAATTTCTGCATCCACAACATTATCAACAGACAACCCATATTTCCTCAACATATTACCATAACCACCACCACTTAAATGCCCTCCGACACCAACTGTGGGACAAACCCCAGCAGGAAAACCATGAACTTTACTGTTCTCCCAGATTTTATAATAAAGTTCACCAAGAGTAGCCCCTGCCTGAACAGTAGCAGACTCATCCTTAATATCCACTTCAATGGATCTCAGATTAAACATGTCAAGAATGAAAAAGGGCGAGTCAGAAACGTAAGAAATCCCATCATAATCATGTCCACCGCTTCTGATTTTGAGTTGGTAACCAACTTTTTTGTGCAAATAACTGTGGCTTGAACATGGGACACTTGAGTTGGGGTAACAATGACAAGTGGCTTCGGCGTTGCAGAGGTATTGTAACGTGCGTTTCTTATATAAGCTCTTAAAACTGAAGTGTAAGATGCGCTGGATTGTGAGAAAACAAGGTTTGAGATTTTGTCTTGTGGGTTTGTGTTGTTTTCTAGGCACTGAAGGAAAGATTCATAAACTGAACCAGCATCAACAGTTGTGGCAGAGAAAGAACAAGAAGACAGATTTATGAAAACAAGAACTAAAAGAAAGGCTAAAAGGGTTGGTTTTGCCATTGTAATAGTAAGAGAATGATTTGTATTCGTGTGTTTTAGGTTAAGCAAAGACAAAATATTTATAGGGAAAAGAAATGTTGTATTTAATGCTCGAAAAGGATTTACGTGTTTTAAG